ATATTTTTTTAGTTGGTGTTATATCCAATCATTTAGGTCAATGGTTGCAATAAGGAATAAGCTGCCGTTTTGCTAATCTTACCATAGTTCAACTTTGGGAACTGCATCACGGTTAAATTGGTCTGTAAAAATCTGGCCATATTAATGCCATCAAGCATGAAAACTAACTGGATTTGGATCAAGGACCTTTAGTTATAGCATTTCAGGTAGGACTGATTCGTTTAAAGGCAGAGCTGTATGTCTCATAGGTTTTTAAATATTAACGAGAGTCAGAAGTCATGTGTGTTCCCTTCCACCAGCAACAATAAAAACAAAAAATTGCAGACAATTTTATATTAATTTCAATTTCCTTATAGTACCCAAAGATGCTTGATGAAGTCATAGCAAACCCTATAAAGCTTTTAACCATACTGTATAAACAGTTGGTTGCAGATGTGAAAAGGCCTTCATAATACCGCTCACAGTTAATTAGAAGAGAAGTAAGAGATGATGACTTTATACTTAATGAAAAAAATCACTGAGACTTTACATATTGAATAAGCAAACATGTTTATGTTTTATTTGTTATTTTCGCGTTATTTGTTATGCTCATACTACTTTCTGTCTTTTTTTTTTTTCCATTTCCTTCTCATTTCTTTGGTAAAATTGTCATTATAGCCTGTGTTTGTCCCTAAATAGTACCTGTAAGTTTAGGATCAGATGAGTTTGTTGTGAGTCAAAATAGTTACAAGGGGAACATCATCATGGTTCATTTTCCTCCCTGTTTTATTTGGAATTGAATTAGGAAATGAAAGGTTTTAGCAGTTTAATTCACTTCTCCATAAAGTTTATGGAGCAGCAACAGCTGGTTGAATCCATGGCAGAAAAATCCAACTTCTAGTGTCCAAGCTATTGTTTTAGAATTAAGTGGGGTGGGGGGCGGGTGGAGAACTCATTAACTGTTAATGAAAACACAGGGGATAAAAACAAATCGCACAGAAACCCTAGCAAATAATTACCTTCCACCTAACACAAAGCGACTTTATCTTTCTGCTCCAATCCCTAAGAAATCCCCAACTTATCACTCTGTGGGGCATGAATGAAATTGAGTTTGACTCTCAGGAAAGAACAATAGAGAAATATCCCCCTTATAGGACCCTCAGCACAATACTCAGTGGAGAGCCTGACATTGAATGTGCCAAGGAGTGTATCTAGCGCCCAATTCTTATGACACTTAGGATGAAGGAGCAAATTATCAGCTAATAGCAGGTGAACCCTTGATACAGTTCCCCCAGATCTTGTTTAGAAATACAAAGAAAAGGGGCTGGAGGTAGTGGATGTGATGAATGGAGATACTGTGCGTTAGAATATCTATGTCTGTATAGAAATACATTGATTCTGAGTGAGTTGCAATGGGAAAGTGTGTCTCGAGTGGCAAGGGTTGTTGCTTGTGAGAAAGCCACTCTAAGCAGATGGAGTTCTGGCCCTAATTGGAGAGCTGCTGGAGTGGAAATGTCTGTCACTATAGTTTGTGATCATTTATGTCGGATCCCACTGGACTATCGTAGTGGCCACTTGGAGCTGCGACTATCAGAGCTATAGATGAATCCAGAGATCACTCGCAGTTATGTTTTTAACAAAAAATGATGTTATGAACTTAAACACATCCAAAATGCCCACAGTAATTGCTGGTTCTTCTATAAAACTTTTCACCCATGCATCTTGAGTAGTTGTAATCATTTTAATTACATGGGAGTGTCTATTTATATGGTGTTAAAGGCTTTTTTCGGTGTACGCCCAAGGGAGTCGGGCCACTTGATATAACCTGAAAAACACAGCAACATCTCCATCATCAGGAACTAATTATGCTTGGATGTAAAAACGTATTTTCAAATATTTCCCCCACTGCGACCATTTTTAATACTGACCCCAGCTCTGTTTTTGCTGCGTTGTGTACCTTTGTTGTTGTATGCTTTATGGAGGCATGGTCTTGTATTTGGCTGTTAAAAGCCCACCTTGGGGAGCTGTGTTCAGACACCATAGGAATCATGTGGAAGTGACTCTTCCATCAGAAGTTGGTAAATCAGATGCCAAGTATTTTGAGGTAGACTTTAAAAATGGAAGGTCTAGCCCTGGCATTGTGGCTCAGTGGTTAAGCATCTACCTATGAACCAGGAGGTCACAGTTCAATTCCTGGTGGGGGCACGTGCCCGGGTTGCGCCAGCTCAATCCGCAGTGTGGTGCCTGCAGCGGGTGGCCAGTCAGTGATTCTGTCTCATCGATGTCTCTATCTCTCTCCCCCTCTTCTTTCCTCTCTGAAAGCAATCAAAATGTATATTTTTTTAAATGGGAGCTCTAAAAGCAATTGGAGAGCTCCTGGAACAGAAAAAGGACATTAATGGGAAAACTGGGGAAATCTAAATAAAGTCTGTAGTTAACAGTGATGTACTAACGTTAAATTCTTGGCTTTGACAGATATACCCTAGTTACACACTTAGTTGACATTTGGAGAAACTGGATGAAGGTATACCGGAATTCTCTTTACTATCTTTGAAATACTTATAATAAATCTAAATTATTCCAAAATAAAAAGATCATTAAAAAGCCACAAAGCAAAGCAAAACCCTACCTGATCTGCTTATTTTTAAAAAAGTAAAACCTGGGATGCTAGAACGTATAAGAGAGTAGATTTGTCAAATTTCTGAAGCAAGCAAGAAACTGTGTCTAGAACGTTAGTTGATAAATAATGTTCAGTCTATCCTACAAATGTTAAACGTTGCATGACAGCCCAAACTATTTATTTTTTCAAAAATTGAATTTGGTTTAGCTCAAAATTTTTCAATTGCTTTAATTTCACAGCTCACTTTCAGGTTACCTGCCAGGCAGTCTATTTAGATCATGTTGATAATATAATTTCAGCGGATTTGCAGTGATGCAAAGTTTGCGTAGTTAATCCTCAGTGCAGTGTTTGAGATTTTTTCTGGTTATGAGGGAATTTTCATAGTGATCCTTTAGCATAATCATAAGCTTTCTATCCTGATCAGTAACCTAATAAAGGCGAGCATTTCTTGTGGCTCTGGCCAGCGACTGTTATATGAAATGTTGTTTGCTTTTTTTAAAAAATATTACTTTTCTTCTCCACAATAAACTCCACAGTTTATTTCTGAAGTCCTATATCTGCAGGTGTTCTGCTCAGTTATGAACATCTACCTTGATCATAGAAGAGTCTAGATATGATCATCTAATTTATGGAAGGAGAAGGCTACGGACATCCTTTAAAAAAAAAAAAAAAAGAATAGTGCCGTAACTGGTTTGGCTCAGTGGAGAGAGCATCAGCCTGCGGACTCAAGGGTCCCAGGTTCGATTCCGGTCAAGGGCATGTACCTTGGTTGCGGGCACATCCCCAGTTGGGAGTGTGCAGGAGGCAGCTGATCAATGTTTCTCTCTCACTGATGTTTCTAACTCTCCAACTCTCTCCCTTCCTCTCTGTAAAAAATCAATAAAATATATTTTTAAAAAATTAAAAATTAAAAAGAAGAATAGTTTATTGATTTTTAGAGAGAAAGGAAGGGCGAGCGAGAGGGAGAGAGAAGCACCCGTGAAAAAGCACATCGATAGGCTGCCTCCTGCACGCCCCCTACCAGGGACCAGGTCTGCAACCCGGGCATATGCCCTTGACAGGAAATTGAACCAGCAACTTCCAGGTGCACAGACGCCTAACCAACTGAGCCATACCGGCCAGGCTGCTATTCTTTTGTTGTTGTTGTTGTTGAATTTATTGGGGTGACATTGGATAATAAAACTATACAGGTTTCAAGTGTACAACTCAATAAAACATCATCTACATACTGTATCGTGTGCTCAGCCATTCTCTTTTTATCATTTTATATCCTCCCTATCCTTCTAGTTTAATTGTAGGAAATAAACCTTTAAAGTGAAGCAATACAGATTCTATGTAGGTTGTTTGGTTTCACTGCTCCCTAGTTGAAATCCAGGGCCAAAACTCTACAGTGTTTACTGAGATTAGCATTGGTGATTTCCTTTGGAAATTAGTATTTGAAATAATATTAAATTCAGTTGAAAATCCCCTTTTCATGTTTGTGAAATGAACTGAGCAGCTGTTGCTGTCCTTTTATCAGCAGACTGTACCTCTGTTTAGGGGATTTTAAGGAAAGCCATTTGCAATGCAGAGCCTTTTCTTCCGGTTCCTGAATGAGCTAACATCTTCCGCCTGAACCTTTTAAAGTATCATAATAGCATGGGCCACTTCTACAAAATATAATCCAATGTATGTTGAAAACACCCAAAAGAGATTAGCATTGTTTTAATTGCATAATTCAGTATTGTATATACATTACCTTTCATCAAAGCCATTTTACAGAACAAATATTACCTTCTTAGGGCTTTTAGAATTCCTAAGAGGTTGGTTGCATAGGCTGTAAACTAGAATTATAAAGAGAGAACTTTCTTAAGAATGCAAAACAAGTAGCGATGGAAATTGGAATAGAATCCGGCAAAGGCCAGGTTCTCTATATTTTTACTTCTCTTATTTTTCAGAACAGGGAAGCATATCGCCCTTGCTCCATTATATTATACGTGGAAAGGTTAACCCTTTGTGTAGTTTATTCTATTTCATTTGGAAATATAAAGAGAAAGAGGCATTCATGATCAAGGTCATAATTAATGGAGATATGGTATATGTGGGTACATATTTATATTGCTATACTTTCATTGTAAGTGTGGCGGAGAAGCTTTTCTCTGGTGATAAGAGGTCTCCCCACCCTAAGCTAACAGCTACTAAGCTCTAGTTAGAGAGTGGTTGAATGGAAAACTTCCCATCCAGGTAAGTTGGTTTTTGAACTTACTTATCTGTTTCTCATATGGTAATGGATAGTGGCCATGTCCGTCAGAATATAGCTCTTGCCATATCTTTTTATGTGAATACCAGAAGAAATATACAAAGACTTTTATAAAGATGCCCAAAGTACGACCTTACTTTTTTTTCTTTTTTTGTCCCTCAGGGGGAGACCAAGCTGAAAATTACCTTGGACAGGACAGCTCCGGTGATAATCACAGTGGAATTCCTGGCCCTTCTCTCCCCTCAGATGCACCTTTTTTGCCAGATTATCAGGATGAGGGTGAGTGTCATTTTTCTGGATTTTTGGCTCATCACACTTGGTTACTTTTTATCCTGGTGTCTTGGCCCTTTGTCATTTGACTCAAGCAGCCTTCGGTGTGGGTTCTCTGAATTGATAATCACTAGCTTGCAAAGAACAACTATTTGTTTCGTTGTGGTGCGGGGCCTCCTGGTAATTCAATACTTCTGAAGTTAATGTATTTAGGAAAACACTAATTCCGCATTGAAGCAGGAAGACATCATTATTGATCTTTTTATAAGAACTGTAGCTCAAAAGCTAAGAGGGCATTTTAAGACTGGAGGGCCCAATTTACCATTCTCTCAGATTTTTTTTAGCTTCATAGAGTTGCATGAGAATTAGCGCTTTCATTTTATGGTTATTGGATTATTGATTTATTGTTGATTATTTGGAATTTTAAGCTCATCATATTAGAATAAGATATCATTTTTACCCATTCTTTTCACATGCCCGACCATATTGGTGTTGTTCAAGGGGAAGCCACATGAACCATAGTGCAAATCTTTTTTGGAGCATTAATTTTACTTGGAGATTTAGGAATGGGAGGATTTAAATAATTCAACTGTTATAAATACTACCTTTATATTAAAACACATTGCTGTGTAATAGAGTCGGATGCCAAATGTAGATGAATTTTTAAGATACATGAATATAAAAATGTTGGCTTGGTGGCTGCCCGTTTCTGGCTCAGACTCAGCTATCCCAAGGGTGGGAGCTCACTGTGCCTCTCTGGCATCTGGCCACTTGAACAGAAGGTTTGATCATCACTGATGCACATGGTTATCTTATCAAAGTCTCTCTTGTGCCTTTCCGGTGGAGGGAAAAGGTAGAGATGCTGCTAAACTGAATATTAAATTGGAAGCTTATTACTCACTTAGGAGTTGGGAGTAAAGTTGGTAAATTATTCCTTATTTCTCTTTATTAGTCCATAATCTTTTAATTTATTTTTCTTCCAAATTTCCCTATGACTTCGGCATTTTCCAAGAGTTCTTAATCTCTATATTCCCTTCGATTTTCAATTTATCCATGAGTTCTTATTTCATTTAGCTCTTTTGGTGATTCTTATTTTCTCCTTTTCATTGACTCGATAACCTCCACTATGGATTCAGTCACACAGAAACATTTCATTTTGTGTGAGCTTTGTAAACTAGCACAATTAGTAATATGCACGTTTTAGAAATTGGGCCCTGTAAGGTGAGATCTGTATATTGGTTCAGGTATGACACTAAAAACGTTGTTTGGATTGAGAGCTTAATAATTACATTAGTAGCTGATTAATAATTGAAGAAAATTAACAGTGCAAAACGTTTAAAAAAACGCATTCATTTGTTTTTTGATTAGTCTAATGCTTGACAGAATTAGAACAATAGTACCTTGTTAATCCATAAGTCACTTATTTGGTATTCCCAACTTTCCCAAACACAGCTGAAAACAATGCGCAAGCCTCTAAGTAGACATAGATGTTCCTGAGTCCTGTGCTAGCACTGATGTACCTTATATGTGGGAGAGCCCCTGAGGCCTTCGCTGATTTCTCAGCCCACAGTGAGTGAAGCATCAAATTAGAAGAAGGGGTACTGTCAAGGCATCAGTTGAGGTATAAGCAAATAACATTGAGGTAAGAAAGAGAAAAACAATCAAAAATTTATATAGAAAACAAAATTTATAATTAAAACAAAACTTATGTGGACACTTTTAAAAAGCTGTCTGGGGACGTACTGTATTGTAGAGAGAGAAGCAGCTCAAACTCTCTAAGGGCTCAGTCCCTTAACAAAGTGGAACTTTCTAGCTAGCATTTATTGAGCCTTGTATCTGTTTTCTAAGCACTTCGAGTGTATCATTATTTAATCCTCAGAACAGCCCTGAGAGGTAGATATTAGGATTTATCTTTATTTTCCAGATAAGGAAGCTGGTACCCAGGGAAGTTAACTTGTGTAAGTGCCAGAATTTATACTTACAAAGTCTGGTTCTGGAATCTCTGTTATTAACCACTCTACTATCCTTACTATTATCCTCATCGAACTTATCCAAAAAGATGGGTCCATGTTCCAGTCATTTTGGTTAAGACTATACCAAACACATGGCATGTTTGGAAATATTTTCATTAAAAATAGTTGAAGTTTAAAAAAAATTGAGTGTGGCCAGACAGCAGGGTGATGGTTTCCAGAGGGAAGGGGGTATTGGGGTGAGGAGGGGACCTAATATATGATGATGGAAGATGATTTGACTTTGGGTGAGGGGCACACAGTACAATATACAGATATGGTATCATAGAAACGTACACTTGAAACCTATATGATCCTATTAGCCAATGTCACCCACATAGATTTAATAAAACTTAAAAAAAATCATGTTGGCATTTTCCTATTATCTGGAAAGCTCCAAAGAGGAGAATTCTATAATGGTTCCCCATAACAGAGGAGTTAACTATGTTAGTAATATTAAATTCTTACTTAATAGAGTTTTATTTTTAATTCTGTGCCTAAAAGTTAAAAGAATTCCCAAAGAGGCAGAGTCAATGGTAGAGGTAAGAATAGATTTGTTTATACGTGTTAAAAATTTAATTGTAGGATGGTGAGATAATGTTTAAATATGAGTTTCTGTAAGGCATTGATTCTAGTACATGCCTGAGTACTTGGTAAATAATGAACACAGTACGTTTGTTTCCTTCCCCTGAAAAATAAAGGTGTATACATTTTCTGTGAAATTAAAGAGAAGGTTAGAAAGATGTTAAAGTTTTAAGTAAATGTACCCTGCTTAACTCGAGTTTACCGTCATAGAGAACAGTAGCGCTTGGCACACTACTTATTCATTATTTTTACAAACACTTATTTAGAGATTATAAGGTACTAGCAAGTCAGTGTGCTAAGTTGTAAGTGAAATATGCAATTAAAAAAATCAGACACAGTCCCTCTCCTCATGGCACTTACCATCTCATTGGGAAAAGACACTATTAGTAAGTAGACAAACATATATAAAGTCGGTATCTTCAATTGCTGGTGAGATAGTTAAGGGCCTCCTTTTTTAAAATTTTATCTGCTTTTATTTTTTTAATATATTTTATTGATTTTTTACAGAGAGGAAGGGAGAGGGATAGAGAGTTAGAAACATCAATGAGAGAGAAACATCAATCAGCTGCCTCCTGCACACTCCCCACTGGGGATGTGCCCACAACTAAGGTACATGCCCTGGACCGGAATCGAACCTGGGACCCTTTGAGTCTGCAGGCCGACGCTCTATCCACTGAGCCAAACCAGTTAGGGCTGCTTTTATTTTTTTAAGGGCATCCTTTTTAAAAAAAAGATACTTTAACTTTCTTTGTAGTGCCATTATTTTAGGCTTCTGGAATCTTATCTTTATTAGATAATCAAAGGACACTGCTAAAATATTTCATTTTTGTTGCCTTCCACCTCCAACTAGTGTCCTAAAGGTTCAATTATAAAAGGACACAAGGTTGACCCATCCACCCATAGCTTCAGTGATGAGAAGCAATAACCGTGGTGTGTGTCATGTTTGGGACATGCTTTTGCGAGAACTACAAAGAGATCTGGAAGAATATAGAAACCTGGCCAGGTGCACAGCAAAAAATGAAAACCAAGGTTACAGGCTAAACCATGCATAAAAATGAGAGCATGCTGCCACCTCCTCGCAATTCCTTCTTCTTTTCCTTTGTAAATGCCCTCAAACAAGCGCACAGCCCCACCATTGGAAATGAAAACTTGGTAGCAAGTAATAACATTTAGATTTCTAAACCGAGGGAGGCACACTTTCTACCATATTGAAGGAAAAAGAATTAGTATGAAATGCGGAATACAGTAACTTTACAAGAGTCAGCCAACTACGAAGCCCGTTGCTTTCATGGTCCAGAATATACAATGGATTTGAGTGTGTCTGTAAACTTATTTTATTAGTATAATGAGTAACCCCTATGCACATACATTTTTAAAAAGATGGATTGGGGAAAGAAATTATTCTATAAATAGGGTATAGTGTCTCCTTCTGGAAGAAAAAGAAAAACATTTTATAAGAGATGAAATTTAAAATCCTCTTAATAAAAGCCTAATATGCTAAGTGTCTGACATTCATTCGACTGTTTGACCAGTCGCTATGATATGCGCACTGACCACTAGGGGATAGATGCTCCGACCAGTAGATTAGCTAGCTGCTGGGGCCTGGCTGATTGGGACTGGGCCAGTTGGGCTGGACACACCGGTGGGGTCCCTCGGCCTGGCCTGCAGGGATCAGGCTGAAACGGACTCTCCGACATCCCCCAAGGGGTCCTGGATTGCAAGAGGGTGCAGGCCGGGCCGAGGGACCCCACCGGTGCATGAATCCAGCTGGGCTACGATATCCTTTTTAACCTACATGCTATTTAGAAGCATTTTTGCATGTGTGTGTATTTTTCCTGGTTTTTGTTTTAGTTTCTAGGGATTTTTAAACCTGCTTTTTAATATTGACTTCTAATTTTATTACATTATAGTCTAAGAACATAGTTTACTGGTATATTATTTAGATTCTTTGGATTTTATTGAGACATCTTTTGTGGCCTAATAATGATCAGTTTATGCTCATGGGTTGTATGTGCTTCCAAAGTATTTATTGAATACACTCTTATTATTTTTAGACTTGTAAATATTGTACTTCAGGTCTTTTATAGCTTAGCTTTTCTTTTATCTGCTGAAAGGGTTGTGTTAAAATCTCCAATGACAGGTAGAGTAATCCATTTTTTCATGTTTTGTTTTACATTTTCAAGGTCGTGTTATTAGATACTCGTAAAGAGCTCTCATTGTTTTTTTAAGGTTTCCTCTTACTGAGCTGGAATCCTATACCTAGAGTTTCCACTGATTAAGCAAGTCTTGCTATCTAAGTCTACCCATAGCACCCCCTGATAGACTCGATACACAATGAGTATAAAAGATGTTTGTTTACAAGCCAGTTTGAGACACCCGTTGCTGTGAGTCATATAGAAGGTGTGATTTTAATGT